TGCTTGGAACTGCAAATGGTTCTCATGTTTCTTAATGAATCTTCCACTTCTCAGCAAGTATTGTCCTCTAATGCTCATTATAACAAAGGGAAGTATTACTAAACAGATGAATGTGTAGTAAAGAAAAAACCTGGGGGTTCTCACAGTTGGGTTTAAATAGTTTACATTACCATTTTTGTGTGTGTGTTAATTTAGCATATTTTAACTTTGATTTTTTCCCCAAATGTTTGATCTTGATATCTAGCATTAGGTAACTAAACCCATCTGTAGACAACTACATAAAAGATGCAGAGTAACTGAAATGCTTTTGAATCCTCAATGCAGGGTGAGAATTTCTGGTACTTTTAAATGCCAGGATACACTTATTTAGGTGCCTAAATATTGACTTAATCCTCTAATGCTAGAAATGCATGACTGAAAAAAACTGAGTCTGTTCCAAGTGAAAGCTTTTGTTTGCCAAACCCAGTGCTTAAACTTTGTTTACAGAGTTGCATGGTCTTCTCCCAGTTAATGCTTGTTCTCTTCCTTGAGAGACAAGCTTATGGAGAAATAAAGTAATACAGTCCTTGTGGTGTTTTATACTTACCTGACTGGTGGTTTTGCACTAAAAGAGCTCTTTTTAAAAGATGGCTGTGATATTGCAAAGTCATGATAGAGTCTGAGGAGGTTTAAAACAGAAGACAAAACTTGTTTTAAAAACAGTTTCTCCTTTAAAAAGTAGTTCCTTTTTAAAGACAGAACTCTTTCAATTAATTTAATGAAAAATCCTTCCCCCATTCACCTTTAAAGGACAGAGGCCTTTTTTGATTTACTCTAAGGGCATCAGTTCAAAGAATTCTAGAAATTGCAGAAAACCCAAGGATTTTTATATTTCACCACACAACACTAATCTTCAGCCAAATATCTAAAGAAAACCACAGTGGGCTTCCTTATGTTCATGTACAAGGTATCAGCATTAGATTAGAAAAACGATAGTAAATTGTTGTATGAGATGAGCAGCATTCATTTGGTATGAAACCCCAGTTTAAATGCCTACAGCATACGTTGAAATCAACGACTACCCATACATTCAATAGAAGATCAGTTTTTCCCCCGCTGTGTGGAAAACAGTGTGATAAGAGACCACCTTTTATGGTTGTTTCTCCTGATATGCACTCCTTGCTGAGCTGGATTCATTGCATTAGGTTTGAAGGAGTTAGGAGTGAGCATAAATGGAAAGGGATGATGCCATTAATCCAAAGACTAGACAGTAGAGAGGCTAAATACTTTCCAAACATAACAAACCAGCCACCTCAAAGAGAAGCACATAATCTACATAGGTTGAAATTCAAAGCCCAGTTGGGAAGAACATGGGATTGGATCTACATGTCAAACCACTAGCCAGAACAGTACTGTTGTCAACAGTATATTGATACGTTGCTATATGAAGCAGATGCCATTCTGGTGGTATTATTTAGATTGGAATATTTTTCACAGTATAAGCCTTCAAGATGAAGTGCAGTCCTTGGCTTGATGGAGAACAATGCACAAGATCTGGTTCAGAATTTCATGCTGGAATCCCCACTTTATAAAAACAGTATTTCTACAGAGAGTAACCAAGACCAAAGAATACTCTATAGTTGAGCTAATCTCCAGTAAGGGAACAACGTGAGGTTTGTTAAAAACAGGAGAGGGAGCTAAAAGAATTAAATCCTTATGCATGGCTAGGAGAAAGATGAGGATACCAGACTTGAAGCAAAGACGCAGTCTAAACCACAGCAAAAAGTTGTACTGCATTCAGAAGAAGATAACATAAAGGAACGTGAACTTTGATAAACATAAAAATACAATTAGATAGGCCAAAAAGAATTTGGGAAACAACTAAGCAAAGGAACAAAACTACTAAATCATTCTTCTTACACATCAACCAGGACAAAAAGCCTGCTAGAAAGTCTATAGGGCCAGCTGATGACAAAGGTACAACATGAGTGCTCAGAGGAGACATGGATGTTGCAGAAAAGGTAAGTTAGTTTTTTTTGCATCAGTATTCATTGATGAGGAGACTGGGGAAAATTTTATGCAGGAATCCTTTCTGGGGAACTCAGCAGAGGATCTGTCCAAAGCGAAAATAACAGTTGACAAGTTCAAAATGAACATTAGTGTAGCACCAAGACTAAATGGTATTTACTGAAGAGTTCTGTAATGCAGCAGCATGGAGAGAACCAATTCAAAATTCTTTGGTTTTGGAGACTAGAAGGTAGTAAATGTGACACAATTTAAAAAAAAAAAAAAAAAAAAAGATTCTGTGGCAGTCCAGAAAGTCTACCTCTGTAGCACAAAAATATAGCAAGAACTATAATATAGGTCAGCATGTGAAGAGCAAGCATAGCTTCTGTAGATGGAAGTGCCACCTCATAAGCATGTAGAAGGGTGATTGCTGTAGTCTTGATGGATTTAACTAAGGCTGTTGACAACATCTGCTACTGAAGGTTTTAAGGAAACCAAGAAGCCAGGAAATAAAGGGGAAAGTCTTGACATTGGCTCAAATATACGAGAGAGTGGAGAGAATATTTAGTCCTTGCATCCATGCACTCTGGAACTGGGGCTGATATAGAATGGAGACCAACAAACTCATGAGTGATATGGGAAAGTTGCAGGGAGGGAAGAGGGGGAGAGAGAGAGTGAGAGCAAGCTCTGTTGTTGAATGCCTCTTCCAGAACAAGCATGGGTGGCCATAAAGTAGAGCTTGTGAGAGCCAGGGTCAAAGCGAGAAGAAAGGAGTGGTTCTTCACGTACAAGATGGTAGATCTGAGGAACTGCTTACCAAAGGATTATTATAAGGCTATTATTTCTGTAAGATTCTGCATGATTTCAAAAGAGACTGTGCAAGTACTTGTAAGAGTGGAATATTTCATAGAAAAACCTCTCAGTCTCATGAAAATGGCCAGAGGTTGGAAGAGTATGAAGCTACAGCAGGGAAGGCAGCATCATATGTAATTGCAATTCTTTTTCTTCCTTGGGTATCTGCTTAGAGCTATTAGAAACATAATACTGTGCTCAGTGGAGCACTGGCCTGAACCAGTTTGCTTATTCTTAAGTCTCAAAGAAAAGCTAATGAATAAATTGCAGTACGTGTTCTTTTTGTTGTCTTAACTGCCAGCTGCAAACCCTCAAATAAATTCTTGAGGCATGACAAAAGGATGGCAGCAGATCTCGTGTTTGGGGTGCATGAGTAGGATGGATTATTTTGTGGATTTATTCCTGCCTGCACTATTGTAGAGTAGAAGACTGGCTCTGCTGTGGGCAGCTACATGATTTTACCACTACTGCACTTGGCATACAGCTTGTTTAAGTGTTTACAATGCCCTTGAGGAAAGGATTAATAAGGTAATGTTAGCATTTTCTTCAGATTATCTGAGAATAGAAACTTTTACAGATGCAAAGCAAAAATTGAAAAATGTAAGTAACATATCTGAGACTTCTGAAGGCATAAAATAGGCACATGCTCCTCATAATTGTATTTTTCTGGAATTGCTGGGTTCATCTGAGTTATCTGTATGGAATAAAAAAAAAAATAACAAGAGAAATGTGTCTTAAAAAACCCAGATATGAAAGTTTTTAAGTATTATGGCCTAAATTTTACATGTGTAATTCTTTGTCTGCAATCATTAGTCAGCAGTTCACTGTGGTTGGAGCAGCTGACGCTGACCTTATCTAGCCTTGGCCTTTTCCCTCTCCCTCTCTGTGAAGGGAAAGCAACTTGTTTACACTTCTTTCTAGAGCTGTATTCTGTCTAGAATCACGGTGGTCTCAGAAGTCAGAACTGTTTGTAATCGGTCTGCTATTGATTGTCCCATCAACCAGATTACTCAAATCCCTTAAAGATAAACTCTCAGAACCTACAAGCCACGCAGAGTTTGAATTTACAGCAGCAACTGTGTATCTCCCTGAAGACAGAATAAAGGGAAGAGGACTACTGGTGCAGGAATGCCCCCCATTTACACCATCTCTGTGGTGCCTTCACTCAGGAGCCAAACAACCGAGAAGGACCTTCCCGTTTCCCCTCTCATCTCTACCCCCTTGCCGTAACACATCTCTGCCTAGGCTGGGCACCACACAGCCTCATTAGGACCAAAAGAGTTGGAACCAACTGCTTGGTAGGATCGAGACAATCTCACCACAGTGACTTCTTCTTCAAGTTTACTTCTTCCACAAGCTTGCACATCTGTCACGTTAAAACTGAAGCTTCTTGCTTGGCTTAGATCTCCAGATCCTAAACGAATTACAGTGTTTGGATATTCTACTGAGGCATATGATTATAGCCAATAGCTTCTCTAAACTAGGCAGAATAAGCAGACAATTTCTGCTGCTACAAATCTGATATCAGTCAGGTATCCTATTGCCCTTTTCTGATAAGAAGGTCTGCTTTGTCATTGGTTTGCCTTGATGTTGCTAACTAATTCTCTGGGTATATATCTGTACTTATGTAAGTGATGACATTAAGTCAATAGAAACTTTGGAAGAAATTCTGAGTAAGGTATTTACTTGAATAATGGCTTGTATGATCGCTCTCTGATGAATTTGGCTCAAACTGAGTCCTACTATTCCCACACCAGTATGTAAACATACAGCTCAAAACTAAAGAAAAAAATAGACATTCCTAGCTCACCATATTGCAGTATATCATATTTTAGAAGTGATTTACAGTTCAGTATTAGTAAGTAATTGAAAACTACAGGCACTGTGTGGATTCATATGTTTCACATACACTTCATTCACATATAAGCAGCTATGTACATTATGCACGATCTACACGCATCTAAATGTTAATTATCCCAAATAGCAACGATACAAAATGCATCATTTATATCTCTTTTTCAGTACCTTTATTTTTTATTTTGTGTGTCTTTGTGACACAGTGGATAACTCCATAAGCAGCAAGGAAATTCTAGTTTACTGTCACTGGACACTGTGTTGGGAGCATGTAAGACATCAGGTACACAGCTTTTTGCTTTAGAAATTGCACATTTTATTTTTCCAAACATTGAACCAAAAGGTAGAAAAAATGATCATTGAGGAAGGCTGACTGATATGTCTCACACAACAACCTGCATGTTCCAATTCCATTGTCTCCATTGCAGTCACAGAGTTGTGCAACAATGAAGTGCTGGAGTGGGAGCCAGTGGGCATAAAATAGAAGAGAAAAAAAGAGGCATCAGTGTTGTCATGATTACACTCTAGTTCCTACATGCTTAAACATTGGTGGAGTTTAGTCAGTCTGATATTCATTGTTTCTATTTCTGACTTGTGGTTGTATCCAAGCACAAATCATTTATATAGACAGTAATTCTGTTAATTCAGTCATCAGAGAAGCCTTGTTTGGATAATAAACAATTTTATTTTTGTAGTTGGGAGCAGAATTATGGCATTCTGTTCTGCTGAAATATTGACTTAAAATAGTGAAAAATTATGACAGAATATTAAATAATTCTAAAAATAGGATAAGCTCCTCTTACTCTCCCTCCTCAGTTACTGGCTCCTGTATTCAGAAAATGCACACAAGTTATTTTAACATGTTTGATGAAAACCAATCATATGACTAAAAACCAATCACTTAGCACTAAAAAAAGGGAAGAAAAAAAAAAGTATCTGGTTCTCCTCAAGAGAGGATAAACCCCAAAATATCCTGGTTCTAATATCAACAGCCCTCCAACCCCACAGACTCAGTTCTTCAAATTTACTTGATTGCACTTATCTTTATTTTAAAAGTCAGTAGAAATCATGGAGACAACAGAGCACTGAACACTGCACCAATATTACTGCAGCTTTGATAATTATTTTTCAAGTAATATTGAAAAATTTTATTATGACTAAATGTAGTAAAATTTCTGCCTTCACCACTAAAAAAATAATCTATCACCTTAGGCCATGTTCCACAAAGAGGAGGTTGTGCATGGATTACAAAGCAGGACTGTGGCAGAAGAGAACTCTTGAGGCAGCAAGAACAGAAGAAAGGGTGTATTTAAAACAAGAGTTTAGGCTTTTCTCCATACTTTCAAAATAAGAAAATACATTGCTTTTATTGCCTGAAACACTGCAGAGTCAGATTTGCTTTACTTAAATGTTCCCACAGATCTGTCTGTGAGGTGTAAGTCTGCACTTATGCCAAGTCACCAAAAGCTTCAGTCCTCCAGGATCTTGTGAAGTGAAAGGTCAGCAGCTATGTGGCACCGAAAGAGATCTGTGAACTTTCCCCTTGGTAAGAAAATGCTAGAGTAATGGAATATTGCAAATAACTGTGGTTTGGCAAAACCTAAGAGTATGCTGTAATACACACAAGCCAGAATGGGAAGTGTCCAACTGGGGATCATGATTAAAAAAATAACAAACCCTCAGCAAAGCAGTTTCTTAGCCAGTGCATCTTGTCAGTGTCTTTGTGCACTGAAAATCCTATTTTACTGACAAAATAATCTGCAGAGAAACCAGTCCTACCTACTGAGCATTAGCTGTACTGCACTAGGTCAGATTTTGACAGTTTCCTAGCTTGATTTTGAATTGTGTATTAAAAAAAAAAAAAAAAAAAGCTAAAAGCACGTCTATCCAGCTCTCTATCCTGTCCTCATCAGCAGAAAGACCAGTAAACTCCAAGATTAGCCCACGTCTTCTCTACATAACTGTCCAGCACATTGTGGACACTATTTGTGCAACCTCCTAGGAAGAAGTAGGAAACAGAATATTCTGGGTCTTGTCTTGCTGGTCTTGGCGTACTGGGCTTTTTTGGAACTCACCTGCACTTTTTGGTAAGTGGTGCCTGACTTTAAAAAGCAAAGTGCTCTCTCTCTCAAATCGAAGGCATTATTTCTTCATCCTGAAGCTTGTGTTGCTGTCTAAATATCATCACTGCACTCTGTCCGGAGAGGGCCGTTTTATAACAGGAACGTGACTTAAGTACATATGCTGAGTTACGGCAAGGTAGGTGGCCTCACTTTCCATTTCTAGGGGAAGGCTGGACTCCTCAGCACTCCAGTAAATGCCTAATAGCACATTTTTCAAATCTACTTTTCCACGCACATCCTAAACTAGTGCTTTATCATAGACCAGCTTATGCAGTTATCTTATGACTTCAAAGTGTGAAAGGTTACTTAACGTGGTTTTTTTAAGTACTCTGATCCTCCCCCTGCACGTCCAAATACAGTACCTTTTCCAAACAAGTCAAGTAGCAATAAGAAATCAGGAAAAGAGAAAAATGAAGCAGCAGGACAACTGCCTTTACTGTTAATTCCCGTGTGCGAATTTAGCCTGGTTTTGCTCTAGGGACCACGCGAATCGCTCGGGGTTGTTTTTGCCGAATAACGCGGCAAGAGCACAATACCGGTTTCCTTTTGACGAGAGGACAGGAAATAAATCAGGCGTACTTTGAAAGCGCTGCTCCGGGAGGCGCCGCGCTGCCCGGGTCCCTCCCGCATTTCCGACCCGCGGCTGCCCCTCGGCCACCGGCCCCGCCTGCGCGCTGCCGCCGCCGCCGCTCGCCCCGCACCGGGCTCCGGGCTCCGGGCACGCCGCTGCCGTCCCCCACCGCCCCGGCGTAGGGCTCGGGCGGGCGCCGCGGGGGGAGGCGGAGCCCCGCCGCCGGGGCCGCCGCAGGGCCCGAGCTCTCGCCGCCGCCGTCCCCCGCGTCCCTCCCCGCCCCCCCGCCGCCGCCGCTGCCGGGGCCGGAGGCGGTGCCTGCTCCGTGGGGCAGGCGGAAGGAAAGGGCCGGCCGCAGCCTGAGGCGAGCCGGGGCGCCAGCGGGCCGAGCGCCGGGGACCCCGCCGCGCAGTCGGGCCGAGCGCCGGGGGGAACCCGCCGGGAACCCACGGCGGAGAGTCCCGGCGCTGCCGCCGGGCTGCGGGCGAGCGGCCGGGCTGCGGGGGAGCCGGGGCCGCCGCCGGGGCCGCCCCGCGCCGGCGCAGCCAATGGTGGTCGGCGGGGCGGGCTGCGCCGCGCCGGGCTGCGTTGTGCAACGCGCCGCGCTTTGAAGGCGACCATCGTCCCTGGGAGGCCGGTCTCACTCGGCATCTGTCACGGCAGGGCGGCTGGCGGGGAGCCGGGGCCCCGGGCGGTCCGATGAAGACCCGGCGGGACCGACCTTCCCGCTGGGCATGAGCCGGCCCCGCTAGCACCGGCGCGCAGCGGTGCACTCCGGCGGGGCAGGATGACCCACATGCTGCATGCGGCGGCCCGGCGGGTGCAATGGAGCAGGGCGAGCGCCGCGAAGAGGGCTGCGTGCCTGCTGGCTGCGGCGTACGGGCTCCGAATCCTCTACCCCCTCCTCCGCAGGCGCATGCAGCGGGCGGGCTGCGCCGGCGGCTCGCAGGATGCGGCCCGGGCTGAGGGGGGCCGGGAGGCGCCTCACCGCGCCGGCAGCCGGGGCAGAGCCTCCCCGGCCGTCAACGCCGAATTTTTCAAGCAGCTGCTGGAACTTCGCAAGCTGTTCTTCCCGAAGCTGGTGAGCGCCGAGCTGGGCTTGCTCTGCCTCCACTCCGTCGCTCTGGTTTCCAGGACCTTCCTCTCCATCTATGTGGCCGCCCTCGATGGGAAGATTGTGAAAAGCATCGTGGAAAAAAAGCCCAGGAGCTTTGTCTTCAAATTAATCAAATGGCTGATGATTGCAATCCCAGCCACCTTCGTGAACAGCACCATACGGTACCTGGAGTGCAAGCTGGCCCTCGCCTTCCGCACGCGCCTGGTGGATCACGCCTATGAGACCTACTTTGCCAACCAGACGTACTACAGAGTGATCAGCATGGACGGGCGGCTGGCCAACCCTGACCAGTCCCTCACCGAGGACATCATGATGTTCTCCCAGTCTGTGGCGCATCTCTACTCCAACCTCACCAAGCCCATCCTGGATGTCGTGCTCACCTCCTACACCCTCATACGCACAGCGCGGTCCCGGGGGGCTAACCCCATCGGGCCCACGGTCCTGGCGGGGCTCGTCGTCTACGCTACGGCCTGCGTGCTCAAAGCCTGCTCGCCCAAGTTTGGCAAGCTGGTGGCGGAGGAGGCTCAGAAGAAGGGCTACCTGCGCTTCATGCATTCCCGCATCATTGCCAACGTGGAAGAGATCGCCTTTTACCGAGGGCACAAGGTAAGGAGGAGACAAGTTGGAGGGTGTTGGGGTCACCGACCTGCATTTCCCCTGCAGCACTCCCTCAGTGCTTTGGGTCCCTCTGACATTTAAACCTGTTTACAGCTAGCACTTCCCGTTTCTTAGGAAAATGCCGTCTCACAGGCGGTATCTGGGGGGAGCGGACCGTAGTTCCCTTGTGCTCTGACAAGCTGTTCCTGTTTTGCAGCTGGATCCTGTGCTTTTCTAGAAAGCTAATCTCCGTTTTTGTTTTTCCCCCACCCAGTTCATTCCACTTAACTTTTCCAGGCCTTTTTTTTTTTTTTTTTTTCACCCATGTTTATGAACTACCATATTTAATGCTGCAGAAGTAGCAACCAGGGCACACCAGAAAGTCTAGGGGAAAACTTGGTGATAGCACAGAGAGCACTACAACCTTTGACACTCTTTTACATAGCTAAGCAAAGATGTAGTCATCTGAGTCTTAAAATAGCTTAAGTACAGTACTTCAGCAGTCACAGTTACATAAACTAATGGCTTGTTTTAAAGCCACCTTATTAAGGAACTCTTCATGTTTTTATTAGAAGTGAATTTTGGCTGTAACAAATTTCAAACACTATGGAAAAAAAAAAAGTTGTTTCATGCAAGGTGAAAATGAAAGCTGGAAACCAGCCTGAATTATTACTCTTTCAGTCCAAGCAATGATTATATAATGTAAATGGTTTATTTTGGTAGAAGTAATCATTCTCAAAAGCTGCCTATAGTAATGTTTTAAGTGCAGCTAAATTAAACATTTTTTTTATTCCCACATATACTGGCTTGAACTGCCTACGTTATATCATATTGACTTGCAACTGTCTTTGACCTGTTAAACCTCTTGGGATGGTTCTCTCTTCCTCCAGACTGCTTGCAAAACCAAGCAGCATTGCTTTTCAGGGATCAGCTTTGCAACTTTAAGTTGGAGATGATTGATCCCCGAACGCTTTCCAATATGAGGAGTTTCAGTTGCTCTGAAACTCTATAGCTGCAGCTTTATTAAAGGGATGTGGAATCAACCATATTTTTGTTGTTAGAATCAGCTGTTGTGACTTGCCTTGTATGTTGTTCTTGTATATATCAGAGATCTTAGAAGAGCTGAAAACCTGCCAATGTGCTATCAAGAGACGATGGCGTAAATAAGGACCAGGTCCACTGACATCCATAAAGCTGTGCACTTTTGCTGTGAGACTGCAGCACAGTGAAAATAAATGTACCATGCAGTAGATGTGGCTCAGAAGTCACAGCTCTGGGTACCTGATTACTTCATGCACATATGTGAACGTATCTTGTATGATATGTGCATCTTTGTCGCATTGTATAAATCTTTTCTTTTTTAACTGTAGGTAGAAATGAAACAACTGCAAAAAAGCTACAAGGCTTTGGCAGATCAGATGAATCTCATTTTGTCCAAACGTTTATGGTACATCATGATAGAGCAGTTCCTGATGAAGTATGTCTGGAGTAGCTGTGGTATGATTATGGTTGCTGTGCCCATCATCACCGCAACAGGATTTGCAGATGGCGGTAATGCAATTTTTTACTTAATTTCTAAGTGTTTCTTTAAAGTTATGTCCTCAAAAGACAGTACTTCCCCTGAATGCCATTCATATTTATTTATTATTCACAGACATTTTTGCAGCGCCTGTGTCTTGTGTGTAACTTTCAAGCATAGCAAGTCAGCTGAGGAAAGAGCAACACAAAAAATCCAACTTTGAACATAAGCCTGATAAATAGCATAAATTCAGGAGTTAGAGGATCCTTGTGTCACATGAGATTATAATGATAATTGCAGTCCTTTTTCACTAGCTGCTGTTGGGATGGCAGGCTGATTTTTGCAGCATCTTCCACTACTTTACAAAATGATACTATTAAGTTTCCTAGAGTACTTGTCTCCTCCTTCCATAAATCATAGTGTAATTATGGGTAAGTATTCTGTTATGTGTTGACCTGTTAGGAACCACTGTTTTTCCCTGACTCCCTGTGAGAAGAGAAGGTGAAATTCAGATTCCAGGCTTGGGTGGTATAATTTTTGACATTCCATCACAACTTTCCAAGAAGTGAAATAAAGCACAAGTAATGTTATTATTATGGGTGCTATTAAAAAAAAAAAAAAAAGGCAGAAAGGTAATTAAGGAAAGGTACTGAAAGACAGTGGGGAAGTTTGCCTCAACAGGTTTCCTTATGCACAAGTAGAACTATAGAATGCATTACAAATTCCATAGGATTCTTTAAGCACAGATCCTACAATGTCTGTGGAAGGATCAGTTCTAAGTTGGGTACATTTAATCAGGAATGAGTGAATTATTTTCTGTGCAGGTCCCGGTAGTTATGCTCCAGACCAGGGCTGTCCAACTGGACAAGATTGGTCTGACCTGTGGGATGACTTTGTGCAGCCCCCACGAAGTTTAGCTTGCTTGCAGTTGTGTCCGTACGTGCCTGGGTGTTCGGCTGTCTGAGCCACTGCCCATCACATGGCTCAGGAGGACACTGTATCAGGATCCTGGCAACGGCTTCAAAAATATCAGGAGGTCCTATTCCAAACAGAAGAGTTTGTACAAAGCCGTTTCACCTCACAGTGAAGGTTATCAGCACAACAGAAAAAGTGGTAAGAGTCTTTCTGCTAAGACAGGAATGAGTACAGTCAATAAAAAGATCTCTTAACCACACATTGTAAACATCTCTTTGGTATGACAGCATGAATTAAAAAAATATTCATATTCATGCAAAACTAAATAACTTTCCTGTTACTCATGAGTATTCTTTTGATGAATACTTTTAAAACATGAGCGAAAACAAAGATGCAGAGATGTCTCGTGTTATAAAGTCGAAGAATATTTGCCACCAGCAACCTAAACTGTTAAAGCACAGGGCTGCTTATGGAGACTTGAGGCATATCATAATAATGGATCACAGACATAATACTGACAAATCAACACTGTCAAGACCATTTCAAAATAAAACGGGTATGCAAAGAATCAAGCAGACCTGGACTTACCATTGGCTTGCTTGGGAAAACAGTGCTTTTGTGCCTCAGCGGGTCAGATGCAAATTTGTTCACATCTGAAGGAAGAAGTAGTGAATTCATTACTCTAGGATAAATCATCAGAATGAGGGAATTTACACAAAACTGGTACCATGACCAGATGTGAGACTAAAGGTGTAAAGCAATAGATTTTGTGTGCTTCTTCAAGGGGAAAAAAAAAAAGTAAAAAATAATCCTGCAATAAAAAGAAGAAAGAATCTTCTGTGACAGTGTTTTTTCTGGATGAAATTTCTAATTCTGTTACATATTTTATGGGAGAAATTAACTGGCAAATCCAAGATTCCCATTTGATAATATTTCTCATACTTTTTGGATTAAACCATCATTGTTCCAAATGTCATGTCTCTCATCACTTTCTGGAAAGTAATTATTTTTGGAAGCAGGACTTTGGTTTCTCTAGACAGTGTGAACACTTATCTTTGTTTATCAAACAATTGTGACTATCAATTACATAAAAGAAGATGAAAAGGGAAACGTTAGATTCTGTATGAAACAGAGACAGTCTATCTGCCATGTTACAGTGCACCACTTCGTCAAACACAGGAGGCCAGCCATATGGAAAGTGTTTTGGACAAAAAGTTCAAGAGAAGTAATCTTGGTGGGTTAGGCATATAAGAGCTCGTGTTTTGGAACAGTGAAATGCTCATAAAATGTATATATTTTTATTGTTTCAAATACCCCTAAAATGACTGATGCAGTGGTTTGTAGAGATCTCCAGACTCTTGCTAGATGAGCTAGCCCGGGTGCTGGAAGCAGCCATCAGGAAATTCTGTATTTACATACAGGAGGAATGCTGCATTAGTGTAGTTAAACCATATGTGATTCCTAAATGATTAAATTGTGTTGGTTCTACATAACATGGGCTCTGTGAGCTATAATCCCAACAAGATGAACAAAAATATTGTTCTCTGAGAAGTAAGGAACAAATTTCAGTTTAGTTTTTACTAATAAATTAACTGAATTCCTGAATTCTCCCTATCCCCTAATTTTTACTTCTTAGAGTGGAAATGACTTTTTAAAATAAGTGAGAACTACATGAGCAAGAATTTTGTCATCTCTCCCCTTGCAAGAGGTTTTCTGTCTTTTTTTTTTTTTTTTTTAAAGAATGTCGTTGTGTCTCAGGTGGTGAGATTACATACAACTAGTTGACAGTATACTGGTGTTGTATAAATAAAGCTAAGAAATTTGAACATGTATTTCAATTAAATAAAATTGCTATAAAAACCATCTGAGGCCAGAAAGAGTAACGTATAGATGGTATGTGTGTATGTATATATATATATGTGCAAAATTATGACATAAGAATTTTAAGTTTTTCCTAAATTATCCATAATGTATTTCAGTGATTCAGATGCAATAATGTAGGGATACGTTTATGGAAATGTAAATGAAAGCAAAACAGCATTCAGATTTAACTAAAAAAAGATAGATACATCTGGCTTTGGTATTGCATGTAGATTTCTAGACACCAGATTTCTAGAACCCAATCTTGTCGGGGAGGCAAGACAGTTATTCACCAAGTAAAAAAATACTGTTTGCTATACTCTTGCGTTGCTTGAATTAGCCCATAAAATTTACAGTTGCATTATACCTGCAGGGAATTCCTGCTAGATGTTCTTGACCATCAACACTGTGCAAACATCACAGAGGATGTTAATAACAATTGCTAATACAGGAGTTGCCACACTGGATCCACCCATTACCCTGCCTAGCCTGATGCCTAGCAGCAGCTTAGTTTAAAAAAAAGAAACTTTAAAAAAACTTTACAAATTTAAGAAAAGAAAAAAAAAATCAGACCCTGTTCTGCAACAGACTTAAGCAATATATAAAGATATATATAAAGTTATGTGATGCAGAAAATCCTTGAGACCTTTAATTTTAAGTCTTGTATTTGAAAAATCTTTGAGCGATTTACTACACATTGTTGTTTTCTTTTTTGTAGATGCAACTATTAACACTGAAACAAGTCAGTCTTAAAATATTCAGCCACTTCTTTTTAAATCCTGATTCCTTCAAGAAGCAAACCTTGCAAGTTGACTATGCGGTATAAATCTATAGGTCACATTGTAGCAAGAGTATATATAAATACGTTAAATGTAAACATATTTATTTCTCATACATCTTCTATAATTTTTGTTGCTGTTTTTTCCTTCCCTGATGCTGCTGATATGTTCTAATGAGACAACTGCTTTCTTTGGAGCAAAAGTTTTTTTGCTAATAGGCTGCAGTGTCATAAACAAAGCATCATAACTTTGTTTTGGTGTCAGATGAAGAGAGAAATTGTGTTGTAAAAGAGGTATCCTACTTAAACCATACTTTTGATAATAAAAGAGCTTATTACTTTCTTATTGAAATATAATTGTTTTGCCAAATTTCCATCAATATGAAGGTTTCCTTTTACATGAAACCAGTAAATAAGTAAGGCTAAAAATTAATAATTGCAAAAGTAGTAAAAATTATATTAAAAAACTGTTTCAAGTCATTGCTTAGGTTTCATTTTCACATTTTGAAAAATTTCGGTTGAATAATGATGTATTAAAAAGAAAATTATCTAGGTAGACAAATAATATAAAATATCAGGGTGTTTTGCATAAGAAGACGAATTCCATATACTCCCACTTGTTCTTTGTTACCAAGCTATCTGTGCTAGTTACATTCACACCAATTATTTTTGAAAGGTTGTCTTTGTAGAGTTAACTTTTTCTTAATTTAAAATCTGCTCTATAATAGCTCACATTCCAATAATAATTTAATTTGTAGAGATAACTTTCAGAAGAATATTTTAACAGAAAACTTTTTTTTACTTTTAGAATTGGAAGATGGCCAGAAACAGGCAATGGTTAGTGAAAGAACAGAAGCTTTTACTACATCACGAAATTTGCTGATCTCTGGAGCAGATGCTATTGAAAGGATTATGTCTTCATACAAAGAGGTACTGTACATCTGTCATACATGAAACAGAAGAGAAAAAAAAAGTAAAACAGAATTTACGTTTAATATAAATTGCAAAAAAAAAAAAAAAAAGTGCAGTTTTTAAAGGCAATTCTACTGCAAGTAAATCCGTGGAGATCTTTGAACTGATAGTTTGATCTTTAGAGTTAAGTCCACGAAGAGTCTAAAGTGCACAGCTGCCAGTATGGTGCAACATGTCAATGTCTTTTTTAATACCCATGTTCAGGTGCCAACATAGAGCAATAGAAGTTCCTGGAATGTGAGTGATAAAGGTTCAAATTCCTCCTCTCTTTGGATCACAGACCTGAATTCAGGCTGTCTGCCTTCGATGTATTGGGACTCTTCTGTTGGAAGTATCGTAGAATCATAGAATAGTTTGGTTTGGAAGGGACCTTTAAAGGCCATCTAGTCCAACCCCTGTGCAATGAGCAGGGACATCTTCAACTAGATCAGGTTGCACAGAGCCCTGTCCAGTCTGACCTTGAATGCTTCCAGGGATGGGGCATCTACCACCTCTCTGGGCAACCTGTTCCTGTCATGTTTTGTATGAAGCACGAAGAGAATTCACTACTTATTTCCTGGCCACCTAAACTACAGGGCTGTTTTCAGTATCTTGTGAACCTGTTAAATTGTGAATAATTTTGCAAAGTAGAGAAATTATAGCAGGAATAAGTCCAGTTTGGGACAACATATAGTCTAGAAGTACAGGATGTTCATCTGGAAGATTGAAGATGTTGTTTCAGGTCTTTGCCCAAATTCCAGTAAAGTTGGGTTTTCATCTGTGGTCTCTCTTGGGAGTTTCTCTAGGTGCTGGCTGTTAAGTAAAATAAGAGTGAGGCAGTGCTGTTATTCTCCTCAACGTTTCCTTCTAAATGTTGGTTCTGCATTTGTTAATTGGTTTTTGCTCATCCCTTTGGTGGGGACCCCTTTTCCCAGTGTGGTGTGAGGAGCTATGCATTAGCTATGCAGCTAATCAGACTATGTGTTCCATTACTTGGAATCCAGCCATAATAGCTACAGCTTTGTAAATTGGAGGAGGAGCAGTAGTTTGGTGCCTTTAGTTTGGTGCCTGGGCTCCGACAAAGCCAGAGTCTGAGCTTTTTGCAGGATTTCTTCTAATGGACTGCAATTTTGACCTTTGTTCCTTTAGCTGTTCCCCTGCTTGGCCTCTGCTCTAAAGATACAGCCAGATAACCTATTATACACTGATGTAATTTCTGTTTTATTTTCAACATTTAAGTCATTTATATAATATACATGGGGACTTATAAACATTGTGGTTTTAGTTTTTGGAAACAAAAATACCCACAAAATAGTAGGAACAACTGAACAAACTCGCTTTGTTTATAACATGGTGAGATTTTTTAATCTAGACAACATGAGATCAAAGACCATGATTTTCCATCCTAATTTTGCATTTATACTTCTCTTCAAGAGACACTGTGGTACTTTAATCACATTGTCATTCCCAGTTTGTGATTCAGGCAGTTTCCAAAAGACAGTGTACTTCAATCCCCTTCAAGCGGTAGTGAAGTTCCAGTTCTTCCCCACCTGATCCACCAAAGCAGCCTCCTTCCAGTCAGTGTAATTCAGCGTGCAGCTGAGGTGGGCTCGACTTTTCTTTGCAGGTCAATAGTTTAGATGGTAGTATTTAGTGTTTTGACAAAGTGAGTTTGTAGGGTCGTAATTTAGAAACCTACTACAAGTTATGTTTCTTCTGGGGCACAGTTGGTACAAGTTTTGGTTGTCACATGCAGGACTCTCTCCATCAAATGCCACTGCCGACGCTGTGCGGAGCACTCAGTCCTGGCACGAGCTCCCACTAAAACTGCTAGGAAGACTTCTGTGTGGAAAATGGTACTACAACTCATTTGTGCTACCTACTGCCTCAAGTGGTGTTAGCCCAGTACATACTTTTAACAGCTGTTAATGCAATTATAAGTAGTGCAAAACAATGTATGGCTGATGGAGTTGAAACATTGAGTGATTACTCATTGTAAACTGAGTTTTTTGAGATGTTTTATACTTGTTAACCTCCAATGGAGTGATGGCCATGTGGCCAGAACTAGCACTTACTTCTGAATCTGGCACAAATAGTGAAATTTATAGAGGATTTTATACTGGAATTATGTACGCCATAGCAGGTGAACTCAATCATGGAGTGTATGTGTTTAACCACAGCAAGATAGTGATTTTATAATCTTGAACTAATTTTCTTGCTATTCTTGTCTTACACTCTGCATTTAGTATAAAAATCCATCCTTTTAAAACTACCTAATAATATATGTACGAAAAGGTGCCCAGGTTTAATTCTTTGCTGCCAGCAGATGGAGGCAGTTCTTTGGGAGCTTTTGGTAGTGTCACTGTCCACAAATAGGAAGTTACCAGTTCCAGAGATCTGTTGTTTCTGTCTGCACCAGGTGGATATTGTGACAAAAGGACCAAAAAAAAAAAAAAAAGAAAGCCTTTTAAGAGACCTCACCATCTTAAAAATGCCCAGTTCTAATCCAAGGTCTCAGATTTAGCTCTGCTATTCTAGCATGCAGAAGAGTAATTTCTTTTTTATACCATATTTTTGATTAGGATGCCCTGATGCTACCCATTTTATACAGAAAAGCACACTTTTTCCACAGGAGGTTTTGGGAATATAGGGAAGTAAACATAAATAATTATAGATACCCGTTTTTCTCACTTCTGTGGACCTTTGTTTTGCTGGCAAATGCAGATATTTTGTTTTTTTCTTGTATGATAGGCTCTCTATTTTCAGGTACGCTAATAGCTATTCTCTGATGGTTGGAGACTACTGAGCCACGGGAAAGAGCAGTCCTTGCAAGCTCCTCATTTAGTGGAGCTATCATAGCCTACATTGGCTGAAATCTATCCCCTCAAACTGTCTCTGCCTGATGGCTGGTAGGACCTGTGGGTGGCATATGAGTTAGCACGGAATCTCAAGCAATGAAAATTGACAGGCATCGAAAGATGCATCGTTGGTCCTTCCAGAATAGCATTTGAGAAGTGCTGACTTAGAATAGCTGGGAATGTTTTTCATGAATCTTTGGCCAAACATTTCATTTATAGAATTTCTAAAGTGTAACTGGAATGAGGCATTTGTTGTTTCTCAGGTTACAGAGCTAGCAGGCTACACTGCCCGTGTCTACAACATGTTTTCAGTCTTTGATGAGGTGAAGAGAGGCATCTACAAAAGAACTGCTGTTATCCAAGGGTCTAAAAACAACAGCAAGAATGAAGATAAAGCAGAATTACGCATTGATGGGCCCTTAGAAATCAAAGGTAAAGAATTCATATTTGTATGTATTTCCCTGTATGTGAGGCTGGTGCAGTGGGACTGGAGGTGAACAGAGGTTTTGTTTCTACAACAAATCAGCGTTTCAGCTTTAATACCCCAGAGACCATGTTGCCTTCCATTTTAACCTCCTGCTAGTTTGTAACTCTGTGCTTATGCAGTGCTTTTCTAATACACAAAATTGCTCAAATGTTTTCTGTGAAAACTTTAAATGAAAACGGCATTTCACCTATACTATTATTGGTGGTGGTAGCATTATTATTCTTACATGGACAGTGCCTGCTTTTCTCAGACACTTATTTTTTTTTTAGAAAAATGAGACTGTAACATTTTCATCTTCAAACACCACATTATTTTGTTTGGGGTAGAAGGGAAGGACAGATTGGTTCGGTAATTTTTGATGAAAATCTGGTTTATTGTCAGTGACTGAAAATATCCCTGTGCTTCCTTTTTTGTAATTTAGTGGGAATTTTCGACTGAAAAAGAGCTGACAGTTTTACCCTTCCCCTCGCCTCCCAAATGATCTGATCAATATATACCTTATCCCTGCCATCCCTATCCTGTATCTTTCTGGTGTCAGTATACTTCTGTCTCTACCCTCCTCAAAGCATTTCTGTGTACATCCATTTTCTTATCGTGCTCCATTATGTGCCACCTCTCTCTTCCTCTTGGTGTCCAGCTTCTCTCTGAGGTACTTAAAGGCAGCTTTTGCTATGGGCTTTTCCCAGTTTTCCCAACAGACCCCTTCTACTTCTCCCCTCTGTGGTGCTGAAAAGCCTCATTCCTTCCCTTTGACTTCTGAAAACTTAAACCTCGGTAGAGCTGAAAGCACCAGCGCTCTTTATGAAATAACTTCCTTCAGCAATTTCAACAGTGCTGCCCTTCAGCACAGATTTCTCAAAGGTCCTCTGACAAGGTTCTTCATAACAAACAGCCTGATGCAGCATGGTGGATAGCTGTGGAAATAGCTGATGTCTTAATCTTGTAGATCATGGTAAGGTTTGGCTGACATTAAAAGAAATGGCATTTTATAACTGTTACATTTTGTCATGTACAAGCAAAAAGGTTTGTAGTTCCTGGAGCAACAAAGTAATTTGGGGGCTCTTTTTAGGTAACTGTGTTTTAATAACAAACCTAAATACAATTCAGATATGCAACCATGCTGTTCACATTCCCTTTTGGTCTAGTATACTTATACTCCACTCCTTTTTTCTCTGCAGCCTTTTCCCAAGATTTAATTCCACTACAGTCACACATTTCCTCCAGCCTGAATTCCTCCTAAGTTGTGGTGACTAATATTTACTCCTGAGTGGTTGTAGGCTCTCAGAGGCAGCTAGCCAAGATGAAGCATTGTGCACAAGGACTTAAGTAGAATTTAGGCCAGATGAATCTAGGCCACAGGCTCCACGCTTTTTATGACAAGTCCCATTGTAATACTGTTTTTCCTCTCTTCTTTTGGTCTTGATACTTCAGAATTCCCTGCAGAGTGGATTTGTATGTGGCTAAAAGTACACGTGCTCACATACGTATATGTGTATGCATTGTTAGAAAAGAAAAATCTTAATATTCAGCTTCCCCAAATGCTCTTTGAATACATACTACTTATTTTCTTTCGAGTCGTCCAATATTAAACTTATATTGTATGTAACTAAGGGATGTCTGGTTTGTGCCTTGCATTTACTGTTGTCAATAAGAGCATTGAGAAAATATGAAAACTATTAGAATATTTTAACACATAATAATATTGTATATACATAGTATATCTAATAGTTCAGAATTTTAAGTTTGAAGTAGAATTTTTTACATCTTCTACAAATACTGTAAAATTGTATTTCTGATTAGACATAAATATGTTTTAAAAGCATGCCAAAGTTGCAATCAAACATTGTGAAGTTAGGAAATGAGAATTAAGTTTACTTAATACTTACTATTAATTGCTACGTAATACTTACTATTTTTTATCATAGACTTATTTTAACTGGAATTTCTCCACTGTATACAAGTAATTTTTTTTTAACAGCAAAATTTTGCATAATGTCATGTTGGACACCACAGGACTATTTTAAATAAAACTTAGGAAAAAAAGAATGCTTTGACTAATACATGGCACAGAAGTTTTTGCCCAGGTAGTTACAGTTTGACAAAGTCAGAAGCAATTGAGCAAAGACCCTCTTAATGGAAAATGTAAAACTAACCTTAACTGAAGGAAATGCTACCAGATCTTTTTGTAATAAACTCAACTTTTCCTTAGTTTCATTTTTCTTTGTTCAGATTAGTCTAAATTATAAAATAAGCAGCCTTCTAATACAAAAAGAAGTCTCTTTCCTTTGCATCTTGTCTATAAAAGTAATTTATGATATTTGTCTAGGAGCCCAGCTGTTTGGGTTCTGTTAGAGAAGCCCATTAACAGGGAACTAAGAAGTCAGAGTTGGTTTAATTTTTTTACTGTTTCCAGAAGAATTTATTTCAAAGTCCTTGTGCTACAGATTATCCAAATGTCTGATTGAGACTGTGTTATTTAAATTTGCTAGAAACCCAAATAGTAAGTGAAATGTTATATGGGTTTCTGCAAATACTTACAAGACACGTTTGCAGCGTCTGTGGTTTCAAAAAGGACGGAAACAAGCCATTAAATGTTTTCTACTTTGCTCTTGTTGCTGGAGGAGACTGAACTGGGCTCCGAGTTTCAGAGCTGGTAGTGAAAGTAGATTCCATTTTCTAATTAAATGCTCAAGGTACCTGATCTGCCTGTGGCTGAGGCTGTTCTTGAACTTTTTTACTGGTTGATATTGACCACCTATTTAAAACAAAATACAGTAAATACAGGTAGAATGTGAGTAAACATGACTTTGCAGTGCATTATGTGTTTATGCATATTTATGCATATTGTGCATTATATTTATGATCAAATTTAGGATTTAGCACACCTTTGGTTACTGCTGACAGTGTCTTTCTGACTAGCTAAGATTTATTATCCAGATTTTCCACTAGGGGAACCTGGAGCACATAAAAGATTTGTTTGAAACTCACCAATTTATCCTTCTCAACTGCACGCAGAGACTGACATGTATCATTGCTTAATGGAAGGTTTCACAAACTCTAATTTTAAATTTTTTTTTTCTTTCTAGGGAAAGTTATTGATGTTGATCATGGAATTATTTGTGAAAATGTTCCTATTATTACTCCGAATGGCGATGTGGTGGTTTCCAGACTAAACTTCAAAGTAAGATGATATGCAAGAATCTTCTGATTGTTGCCATCACATTAACATAAACAGCACAGAATTCATGTACCTTATGTTAAGTACTTGGAAGAGCATATGGATAAAAGGGGAAGTCCAGAAAGGTAGGCATAGTAGCTCATTAGAGGCAGACATATGTAGCTTATCCTGCTCAAAGAAAGAGAAGAGAGGATTTCTGGTGCTGTTGCCAGGTGAAAAAACAACCTGAGATTTTCAGAAGTGTTTATGGGAGTCAGCATCCCTCTTTACTTAATTTCAATGAAATTGGGATGCTTTACTCACATAGGCTCCTTTAAAAGTCTGAGTTGAGAGCAACAGTGAAAAAATTGAGTCTGTAGTTTTGCTTCATCACCACAGAGAGCAGTACTAACTAATAGTTGACAGCATAGTTCACAAGCCCAACTGTGGAGTCTTTACTCAGTAAAAACTTGTATAGTTTTTAAAAAGCTACTCCAGATACCATTCGGTACCTGCTCACAGTTTTAATGGATGACCTTTACTGCATTATTCCCATATGTATCCTGATCTTATGTTCCAGTGCAGATGATATTATTTTATAAAGTAGTTGAAGTTGTCAGAACACTAACATGAATAATTCCAGCAGGTCCTTTAATTTAGCTAAAGCAGAGTGTTCCTCTTGCCACCTCTGTTGGTATAGGAATTGGCAACTAGCGGGACAGGATCCTAGCTATGGCAAAACTTGCAGTGACTTCAGTTAGGAATTTCAGATTTGTAAAATTACAACTTTATGGTCAAGGAGACGGTTATATTTATTCATTTGGTTCAAGAGACAAAAATGACAGAAAATACAGCGTAATCAATATATTTATTAAAGGATAGACAATGACATTGTGATTACGCATAAATATACACTCATATATGCACAGGGTAGTATTGAAATTAGTAAAACCAAGTTCATCACAGTGAAAATAACACTGGTAATTAAGCAAGAAAGGGCAATGTGAAGTAAATTTTCCAAATTATTTGATCAGGCTTCCATAGTTTACATTAGTATCACTGATGGGCATAGCACTGCTATGCACTCTGTTAACATCTTTGGACCTAATCTGCATTAGAATAATTGATTCTGACTGTGGTGTATTGTCATTGTGATTTAATCAGTGTAGTTTAAAGAAATACTCAAACATTATAGAAATTATTTTCATTATATCAGCCCACATACAGTATCTAATGCCACTGTTTCCAGAGTAGCTGCATAAAACTATGCAGGTGATTAATGAAATGGGTTGATAATTTGATATAAATGCTCAAGTAACTCCATCCAGGGGTCTTAGACTGTCTTGTGCAACATATACTGTATAGTAACATCTTTGCATTTTCATTGTTATTGTAGGTCCAGGAGGGGATGAATCTTTTAATCACTGGACCCAATGGCTGTGGAAAGAGTTCACTCTTCAGAATTTTAAGTGGTTTGTGGCCTGTGTATGAAGGAGTTCTCTACAAACCCCCTCCACAACACATGTTTTATATACCACAAAGGTATGTGTTTTGCTCAAGGTGACACCTTTTGTCTGATTACATGAATTTTGACCTTACTTATTTAATTTTCAATCTTTGATATGTACAGCCAAGTTAAAAGGTGGCAAACACAACCTCAGCTGTGTGGAGAGTGCTAAAAAAAAAGATACCTTCTCCTTGGTGATACAAATCTTCAGTCATTGGAAAGGGATTACGTAGACTTCTGATGGAGCCTCTGTTCCCCTGATGGCTAAAATCCTGGATAATTGGGATCATGGGAATAGACTAGAATCTGAAAGAAATTTGAAATAGACTTAATAGATCTTAATCCCAATTTCAATGTAAAATCAAAGATCTAAACAAGTGAGAGTGCTTTGGCTCCTAAATGTATTGTTCAAAATAATTTTCAAAACTTCAACTTTTACACTACAAGACCAGAATCCAATCCAATATTAACTGGAAATTGCCTTTTTAATAATATGTCATTTTACCAAGGGAAACATTGCTTTTTTGTGCTTCATTTGTATTCTGACTTGCTGTTGGACTATCAGAACATAATCTAACGCAGTTGATTCTAGAATATCTCCTTAGAGACTTCTAACTAGATTGTTTTGCAAAGGCAAAATCAAACACTGAGAATCTTTGAACGCTTTCTGTAGTTCATTTCTTTCCATAGTCTTGTTTAAAAAGTACAAGCAATTAAGTTGAATGGAAGATATTAACTGATGAGCAGATTTTCCTTGCTGCGGGTGAAGGTAACAAAGAATATTTATCTATAGTTTTTTCAAATATATGTATAATTTATTGCTAGCCATTGTAATTTTTCTGAGCCACTTGAGAGTTTAATTCAGGAATATGGAGCAACATGCTTTATTTAATGTTTTATGAAACAATATTTCAGAATTCCCATTGTGCAGGACATTCTTAAAATCACTTTTATTCTTAGACAGAACAAAAGCTATTCTAATTTTTTTTCTTGCAGAAAATCTTAAGTTTCAGTCACTTTTGTCCTTTGTGTGATCCCAGCCCCTTCTCAGATCAACATCTGAGGCTGGCTTGCCTACAGCCCTTCCCCTTTACTTACGTCCTGTTTATTCCGTGAAAGCAGACTCACATTGTTTTCAGGCAGATTTGCCAAGGTGCTGCTTGAGGGCACTGTATCACATCTGCTGAGTTTTCATTTCCATAAACATGGTTATTTGTTAGCTGTTTCCCCTAACTTTGCAGTGCTGGGAGAGTTTGTCCATCAGACCTCATCTTTGGAACATTTCAAAACTTTTGGTCAGAAGCACATTCAGCCAGCGTCTTTACAGCCCTCTGTGAGCAAAGCCGTGTAAGGATTGGCATATCATTTTTGTGGTGAACCCTGAATGCATCACTCATATGCAGTCTAATAGCATCCCCCAGTAGACAGAGTGCTGCCGTGATGTCTTCAGGACATCTAAGTGACGTTGCTATGGCTCGGGTCTGTGTGAGCTCTGTGCTCCTGGCGGGTTTTTTTAGGCAGTACAGAGGTATCCCCTTCCCAAGGGACAGAGCGATGTCTGGGTAAATGGGACAGCAGTGAGTGACAGAGAGGGATCCCCAGCTAAAGTGCTACACCTTGACTATGGCAGAAGACTTTGAAGTCTGCTTGGGGGAGGATGGTTCAGCTGTGTCAGTATGGGTTCTGTAGGGTGAGAAGTGTGGCCTCTCACTCATAAGTGTCCTGTATTTGGAGAGGGACTGCGAGACTGAGTCTTGTAGGGATTTGTGGGTGAATGTGGCTGAAGGGGTTGATACAGGACAGCAATCAGATTTGTTTGTTAGGATGCCCTTAATGATCCTAAGTTGCTTTTTTGCTCAGTGTATTTGTTCTTTGGGTTTACAGAGTCTTAGATGAATATCTGAGACACTAAGGATGACTTGAAGGAGATTCAGTTTTAAATTGAAAAATATACATTTCTGGACCAGATTTGCAAGAGATCTGCTAGACTTTGAAGAATTTTGTGTGGATTGCCTTATGTGGTCTAGGCTTTTCTTTCTGCCTGTATTCTACTTCTGAGCGTTATAATAGTTCATATATTTATGGCCTAAATAAATTACACATTCAGTTGGGTTTTTTTGTCTGTCCCTGGCTCTAGAATACATTTGGAATTTCTGCAGTGGTTTGTAGATTGTTCTGAAGTCCCCAAATTAAAGCAGCTTGTTTTGGAAGGTCTCCCTGGTGCAACCCTTTTGCTTATTAACTCTGCGCAATTTGCTGCTTGGTCAAAATTACCTTCTGTTTGTTTACTTTTTAGACATAACTGTAAAACTTCAGACTGGAAAAGGTAGTTCCCTGCCTGCATTTCCTCATGTATATATTTCAGCAGAACTTTAGGGAAAATTTAGGTTCTGGGCTGAGAGGATCTGGGAGGTGGTAAGACAGTATCACCTGGATTCAATCTACCTCACTCTTTCATTTGGTGGGTAGTTGAAAACTGCGGTATAGCAGAAGGCTCTTGAATTGATGGATGTCTGTCAGAGCAGTGAATTAGAATGACATCACTGTGTTTAAGTGCATACATTATGCCTCTGGTCTAAGAATATGGGAGATGGCTCTCCGTGAGTGGACATAGTTACCATTGAGCCTGGTGAGAGCTTACTCCTGCATGCCTGAGGCTGAATTTAATTCCACATCAGCCCTTTTTGGGTCAAATGTAGGAACCTCATCTGCACACAGTGAATGGTGGAGAATACAGTGACTACTAAGAAAATACTCCACAGTAAATAGGAGCTCACTGAAAAGATTCTTTTTTCATCTATGTTTGTAATGTTCCAGTGTAGTATTCCAGAAATGCGTGGGAAGTCATGTGTCTTTGCCAAGTTCAAAAGCTACACACGGAAGTATGATTTATTAAAAAGTGAATTATCTCATTGTATATCCAAATTTCATCAGCACTGCAAATGGTTTGTAGTTAGATTTACTTAGCGGTATGTGGGCTTTAAAACAGAGCCTGAAGAATCCCTGTCTTTTTATCTTTTTAGATTGCTTAGCATCATTACACTGTTTTTTTTAGATTTTACTGTGAAACATTGTGAGAAATTTTTTTCTCTCCTCATATAGGGCCAGACCATGCAAAATTTGTCCTTAATCGGTCACAATTCTGGTGGAGACTGATAGGATAAACTGCCCTTTTGGGGAGCAGGGAGAGAGAAGCCCAGGGATTTCTGTGAGTGTGGCTCTGCTGCTGTCCGTGACAGGCCTATAAAAAAGGAAGGTGGACAGAAGAGATGGAGACTTTAAGAGGCTTTAAGCAGTCCAGTGTCATATTGGTGCCAGAAGCAGCTTGTTTTCAGGGATGGATTGGTGCTAGGAACTGGTCACAGCTCAACAAGTTGCCATGTCATTGGAGCCTCAGTAACTGGCAGAGTGTGTGCTCTTGCCCCTTCTACTTCTCTGTCCCTCTTCTGCAAAGTAAAATTTATTTGTTAACCACTTTTTTACATTCCTCTTCTAATTAACTGGTCATGAAGGTAGCATGAATGAAAAAATAAATGCTTGTGGGTGATCTAGTTGGTAAGGAATCATGAATCAAATCAGAATTCAGAAATATAATTTTAAATACTAAATAATTCGAAAAAATATGTAGTGGGTAGCATGAGTGCCAATTCTAAAGATATGACCGCAAGATTTATATGTAGCACTTAGGGAATTAAAACAAGTCAATCCTTTCATAGTATATCAGCAGTATATCTGAAGGTAGCCCGATTTCTCCAAACTGTGCCCTGTTCCTTCTCTGTTGGTCTTAAACATGGGAGGAGACTCCATCTTTATGGAATTAGTGAACTCTAGCATACAATTCCTTCTAACATTTACTTTAGCTCTTCTTGCTCTCCAACTAAAAGTCTCAGCTTTTTCTGTTGTAAGGAAACGAAGATTCTGCACGTTGGCTCTCATTTCCTTAGTTCTCCTTCATTTGATATAAATGCCAGCAGAATTGCATACCTACATACTTGCAGGTTACCTCACCACTACCACAGGAATGTTCCTCAATGCCTGTAATCACCACTGTAATCACTGTAAACAAAAACCTGTAATCACCACAGGGTTACTGATATAAATTATTAATAATTTTCTGCCAGCTATTTCTTATTGTCTTATTTGCATGGAGGAATGTCTCACATGGTGTCTGTTGGTTCCGTAACCTTCTGTCATGACTCTCGGGTCTTCCTATCACAACACATACCTAAAACATTCATCAGCGTTTTCTCTGTTTTTCCTGAGGACTGATTCACTGATTCACATTCGTAGAGCTTGGAGTAATTTTTAATCCACTATATTTCTTTCTCTTGGTCCATTGCTACTGTTTTTTCTCTCCAGCTTGCTTCTACTGTAATTTGGGTATTTTTGTGAGAGGGGCATGTTTCTCCAGTAGTATGCATAGTTTCTTTGTAATTCCATGTGCCATTCTAGTAGAAGTCCACCTCTGACCACTTTCTCAGCAGTGACAGTGATGGTCCAATTCTGTATTCTCTCTCTCTTTCTATTGCTCGTTCAGGTAGATCTCTAGTACGTCTTTCCCTCAACACCAGGCTTGTCAGATGCTAAAATGGAGGCAACCAAAGATGCACTAGTATAAAATGTTGGTTGTTCTTCATCATTTAAGATTTATATATCTATATCTTGCTGTCGTCTTATTAATGCTATAGCAGTGTGGAACATTACAGTTTAAAGGTTATCTGGCCCTCCTAAGCTGTTTGTCTTTGCATATGTCTGCTCTATTTCTGGTATTTTATCTGGAGTTCCTTTACAAGTTTTTTCCTCTCTGGTGTTTTTCTTTCTGCATTCTAAAAATATGCTTGGCTACTAAAGAAAATTACATCAGCTACAAAGATATATTTCCTCTCAGTTCTATTGAGTAATCCAAGTATCTGTTGTGATTTGCCTCAAGTAGTCCAAGGATATTCATCATGTGGATGAAACCAAGCAAGAATGTTTCAGTTCTAAGTGATATAAATAATAAAGTGATAAAGTAAAAATCATTTTTACATTATAA